GCACCTTTTTTTAAATAAGTTAAATCTTTAATTTGGTCCCTAAATTATTGTATAGATCTTTGATTTCATTCCTAAACTAAAAAAATCTTTGATTTAATCCTTAAACTATTGTACGGACTCGATTTAATCCTTACTGTTTACCAATTTGTCCCAAGTTGATTCTTTTGTATAAAAGCCAATTGATCTGTCTTATTATTAACGTAACACGTGGTTGTTAAATTATTGTCTTATTTTTATATTCGATGTGAGATTTTTCCATTCAACACACTCCCTTATGTGCAAATCCGTTATGAATGTCGAATTCTGTCACGTAACTTAACACGTCCCTTTACATGCAGGTTTGGAATCAACTTCAGGTCCAGTCAGGTGGACTAATAATGGACTTCCAAGGACAAAATCTGGGCTCTGATACCACTAACAGAACAAGCTTTTGTGACTACAAAAACCACGAATTTTATTTATAATACGGAACCATGTATATACAAGAGTTTGTAGTTACACAAGAAAACTAAAGATATATACAATAATGAAGTATATATGATTTAAATGTGTGACTGATATGCTGTTATAATATTGAATAAATAGTTGCCAAGATGAGTCTTGTTGTCGTGAATCTGTGATTCATGAGCCAAGATTGCTAGAATTGATGACAGGATTTGTTTCCATAATAAGCCGTAAGAGTTCAAGCACATGGGCTGCTTATGGTCGGAAAGCACATGGGCTGCGTATAACTAGGGATGTCAACGGGGCCCCGCAGGGCAGGGGACCCCTTCCCCATCCTCGTCCCCGCGAATCACGAGGACGGGGATCTCCGTGGGGATTTTTGACGGGGGGCAGATTTTGCCCCTCGTCTCCATTTCCCACGGGGAACGGGGATCCCCGTGGGGATCCCCATTCCTCACCAATTAACATCAAATAGCTCCAGCAACAGTAGCAAAGCAGATGGCTTAGGCTGTTCGGCGGCAGCAGCAGCAGTAGCAGGCTCCGTTGGCGACAGCAGCAGGCTCTGGTGGCGGCAGCAGCAGCAGGCTCCGGTGGTGGTAGCAGCAGCAGATGGCTTCTGCAACAGTAGTAGACCAGATCGCTTTGGCTGTTCAGCGGCAGCAGCAGCAGATGGTTCGATGGTGGCAGCCGACAGTAGCAGCAGAGCAGATGGCTTTGGCTGAACAGCAGCAGCAGCAGCAGATGGGTCCGGTGGTGGCAGTAGCATATGGTCCAGCAATAGCAGCAGATGGCTTCGGTGGCAACAGCAGCAACAGCAGGGAAACTGAAGGTGAGATGGACGTGAGAGATGTGTGAAGCTGCAGTTAAAGAGATTGAGTGATGGGAATTAAAATAAATTAGGGTTAGGGTTAAATGTAGAGGAATAGGTTGGGTTGGGAGTTGGGTTGGGTTGGATAGTATTGGGTTAAATTTAATTGTAATTGTATTAGATTTGAGTTTGAGTTTAGATTTGAATTTGGGTTTGGGTTTGAGTTTAAATAATAAATTAATTTTAAAATAAAAAATTTTTTTTTGGGGGATGGGGATTCCTGCGGGGCCCCATGGGGCGGGGAAAATTCCCTGCGAAATTTTGCAGGGAGAAAATGATCCCCGTCTTCGCCCCGCGGGGAGGAATATTCCCCCCCGCCCCATCCCCATGGCGGGGATCTCCGCAAGGCCCCACGGGACGGGGAAAATTCCCCGCAAAATTTTGCAAGGAGAAAATGATCCCCGTCCCCACCACGCGGGGAGGAATATTCCTCCCTGCCCCATCCTCGTGGCGGGGATCCTCGCGGGGCCCCGTGGGGAACGAGGAGAATTGCCATCCCTACGTATAACTGGACCCACATCCTAGTTTCAGAATTAAGAACCATTTAGTATAAAGGTTTGGAGGTATTAGTAATTAGTTTTACTTAACTTTATCAA